AATAATTTTATGTCAAAAAGTATTCTAGGGGCCTCCCTGTTGGCCTACAGGTTAAGTCTCAGTACTCTCACCGCCAAGGCCTGAGTTCGATCCTGGCCAGGGAGCTGACCCACCTAAGTCACGGGAGACCTCTCCTGTCTCTCCCACTGCTCCCTTCAGCAATGTATTTTAGAGGATCTACTAGCTCTGCTCCTCACTATGTCTCTGATGAATCCTCTCAACCCCCACCCCTCTGTCCTAAACCCCAGTTCTACGCTGAAAAAAAAAAATATATATATATATATATTAGCAATGCTCTTTTAGCAACTTCTTACGTGGAATAGAAAAAGCTCTGAAACCCCACATTTAGAGTAGTATTCTAGAAACTTTGTTCACTTCATTTATGTGTAACTCTCAAGAAATTGAAACCCCCAAGGAAGTTAACTACGTATACTATTTTATCTTTCTTAGCTATAGGAAATAAAAGCACACTGCAGTGAACTGGATTTGTCTGTATGCTTTCGAAGCCAGCAGGCACCTGGGGCCAGTACTTAGGTGTCTATCTGTGCACATTATTCAGCAATTTAGCCACATATGTTTTCTAATGCCAGAATTTGCTTTCCTTTCATGGATCTCATACAGAGAAACTTTTTTTTTTAAAAGATTTTATTTATGCACACAGAACTGGAATACAGGCCAGAGGTGCAGGGGTGGTGAGAGATTCCCCAGAGACACAATAAGGATCAGAACAGGCAGATCGACAAAGTCTACTGCTGAGGGTAGCAGCAGGCGGGTCAGGAGAGGTCTGCCACGCCATGTGGTCACCTCCCCGATGGGAATCAAACTCATGAAATGGCTGTGGCTAGCTTCAAAGGGCTGTGCTTTTTTTTTTTTTTTTTTTAAAGATTTATTTATTTGTGCATACAGAACTGGGGTACAGGCCAGAGGCTCAGGGGCAGTGAGAGGCTTCACCAGAGACAGAGTGGGGAGCAGAACAGGCAGATCGACGAAGTACACTGCTGAGGGGAGCAGCGGGCGGGTCAGGAGAGGTCTGCCACGCCATGTGGTCACCTCCAGGGCAGGTGGGAATCGAACTTATGCGGAAGCGGCTTTAGATTCTCAGTGCTGTGCTTTAACCCTCTGCGCCACCAGGGAGGGCCCAGGGGCTGTGCTTTAACCCACTGTGCCATCAGAACAGGCCCCATACAGAGAAACTTTTAAGGACTGAATCTAAATCCTAAGAAGGGGAAGAGTAAATAATTTAGATCACTTAGTTTTGGAATACCTTTCCCTCACAAATATTTTATGTTTTTTCCTTCATGATGTATAAAAACCTTATATTTAGTGTAGGTAGTTTTGTTTGTTTGTTTGTTTTACTCCAATCTACACATACACTTTGATAAACTCCAGGAAGAGAAACCACACATGAGTTTTTACAGGTGGTGTGCTCATGGTGGCTGGGTCTTTAATATAAAATGACAATTGTGCTCACCTCTGTTGGTTGTTGACTTTGCCACACATGGGGAACACTGATTCAATCACACAGGAACTACCTGTTTGCTCTCATGAGAGTTCAGAAATGAATGGAAAGTTAAGAACCTTCTCTTGCTGTTCAAAGCATTTCCAGTATTGCAAAATCATTGTGAGTGCAGAATGTTGGAAGTGAGCCAAGAGATGAAATCACCCTGGTCATAGTGAAGGCTGAATCAAGTCGAGTTGTGCTCCATAACTCTGTGGTGTGCACGATTGGAAAGTCTCAACCAGACTGTAAATAGGAAAAGGGAAGTGAAGAAACAACATAATTTGCTTTGGGGTATGGGCGTGTGTATGATGTTCCATTTCTAGTTGGAATGCTTTCTGGAGAAAAATAATATTTCTATGTTAGAAAAAAAGTTACCTGCCAAAATATTCAAATGCTTTCCATAATGAAACATTTTACTTTTATTTTTAGTTTGCTATAAAAACGATAGGTATTGTTTTTACTACATTTAAAGAAGACGAGGGCACCCTTGTTAGAGTGACACCATAAGACATCATGTACACTGGAGGTTTAGAGGCTTGTTGTGAAGTGTAATTCACTATGAGATTCAGTCATATTTAATTTCCTCCTTTTGTTTTTTATGAATGCATACAAAAATGAGGGTGTAGGCCAGAGGTGCAGGGGGCGTGACAGGATTTACCAGAGACAGAGTGGGGAGCAGAACAGCCAGATCTACTGAAATACATTGCTGAGGGGAGCAAGAAAGACAGGAGCGGTCTGCTGAGCCATGTGGGTCACCTCCCTGGCCGGGGAGTGAATTCAGGCAATTGCAGTGATAGTGCTGATACTTTACTTTGAGACCCTAATTTCCTTTTAAAATAAAGAACTAAAGTTTTAATTTAGGAGTTTCTTATACAAAATTTCAAGAGTAGCTTGAAAAACCAATCAAGAAGGATTTTTGTCTTAAGGGTTTGTGGGCCTGACATGACATGGTTATAAATGATCTAAATTGTTCTCTGGTTTTGGTTCTCATCTATTATGATAATGCTGTGTGTGGAAAAAGAAGTTGCATCAAAAATTTCCTCCTTTTTTGTCTTCTCTAAGATACATAGTTTGGAAATGCCTATTGGTCTGGATTAAATTAGCAGGTGTTGCTGTAGTTAATGTATACAATTATGGGCACCTTGGGCTGCTCAAATATTATGTTATTTTACTGGTTATTTTCCTCAAAGAGAAATTCTTGAGATGAAATAGTCTTAAAAGTAAAGCTGAATGTGTGTGTTAGGCAGTGAGGATGGTTGAAGGATAAAGGAAGTGTACTTGTATGGTAATAGATATTTTGGTAGTGTAAAATAATAAGAAAAGTGGCTTTGAACTTATGGGTACCTGTATGATTAAGTACAGTAAGAAAATAGTGAAATGACTATAGAAATAATAAATATAAATTATCATTTTAGCAAACAATGTTACTTGCAAGATGTCTTAAGTGGAAGATTTTGACAAACTAACTTGTAATGTTTCCATTGTTATTTGGAACAGAATCTTTATCCCTTTCACCTCTTATCTAGTTCAGAAAATGCCTAGGATTGGAGACACTTATATAGCAGAGAGCAGAAGAGAGTAATTGGAAAAGAGCTAATATTTGCTGAGCAGACATTCTATCCTAGTCAATAACTCTGAGTTAGATGCTGATATCATGATTCCATATATTTATAAGTAGATGTACATAATTTTAAGTAATCAATATTTAAGTGAATTGATTTATACCATTACAGATGATGAACTGAAGTAAAGAGCAAGACTTTCTCAACCAAATATACCCAAACCATATTGGAATTTGAGTTATAGAAGTTGTAGCCAATTATGTATTTTTTTTTAACTTTGACTTCATTGCCTGGAGCATAATACCTGGGTTGGCAAAGACATGGAAGCTGTTTGAACTACAGGATTTGATAGCTCTCATTCTCTATTTTAGAGGCAGAATATTATAGTTAACCAGTGCACCAAAGTTAAAAGTACCACATTTTAGTCCTAGATATTGCTTTCACAAATGATTTGATTTTTGATCAAGTGACTGGTCTTTTAGACTATACCTTTTATATCTGTGGAATGTAGTTGACTGTGGAGTTACATTATAATAGCACAGGAAATGAAGTGGTTCTGACGTTACAAGAATCTGGTGAAACGTGCTCAATCAGTATTAACCAGCTCCATCCAATTTTGAATAAAGTTAACAAGAGAGGTTTTTTTTCCTTGGTCACTGGTGGGAATTATCTCAGACCCCTTAATCTGATTAACAGATAAAAACCATGTTTAATTAATATATATATATATAATTTCCCTTACGACATACCAATAGCTCAGCTCCTCCTAGAATGATTTTCAAGGCTATAGATGGAATAACATTGTAAATTTCCTTAATTCTGTCATTTCTAGAGGGCCCTCAGTTCAATTTAAGTCAAAAGGCCTGGAAAAAAAACCTGGCAAAGGCATTTCTAGTAGTATGTCATTATCAATACTAGAATTTTAGCTGATGATCACCAAAATTCTCCAAAGAATTAATGACAAAACTTGATTACAAATGTAAGAGAAACATTGGTGATAATAAAGCTTGTTTTTCAATACATAGGCTGTTTAATATTTGCGTACATTCTTATACTTGTTCAGAATCATAACTTTGAAAGAAAAGGGTTTTAAAAATCATCTTTCAGCTCCATCATTTTATAACCTAGGAAACCAGCCCAAAGAAATTAAATTTCAATTCCCATCTCTTTAAAAATCCAAACTTAGACTGGAACTTGTACAAGAGATATAATACTGAATATATTTTTGGTCACTATTGATATTTATGGTAAAAGCTTTATAGATCAAGTAGCATAGGGTAGAGCCACTCATGCATTTATTTATAGTAAATAAAGAATGCATTTCTATTACCTATGGTGCCAGATGGTAACAATAAAAATACAGTCCTTATCCTCCATTAATGGACAATAGTATATAAATTTTAGTGGCGAAAATACTAAGTCCCCTTTATCCTAGGAGCACTGCAAAGCAATATCAAAATTTCATTTCCACCTCTCCAAATACTGAGAGGTGAGTATTACAATTCTCATTCTTTCAGATGCCAAGACCTGACGAGGAGAAGGCACATTAAACTGGTCCAGGTCTCAGCACTAAGTCAACTCTAGAGCAGGACGCCAGCCCTGTTCCACGCGGCACCAAGGCCCATGTCTTTTTCCCTGAATCCACGGAGTGTGGTTTACTTTGATCACTATCCCCTGCAATCCCCTTTCAGCCACCAATGACAACCTGACAAATTTATTTTTGAAGGCTCAGCCCAGTGATTACATAGGGAAGCACATTCTTGTGTTATAAAGAAGAACTGGTGAAAAGAGATCATCCAGGTGTGAAATGGGAGTCGGAGCTTGTTTTCTTGGTTTATTGCTGCTCAATTGTGTGTGTACCAATGCTCATTAAGGTATTTTGAATGTCTTCATTGGGTACAATAACATTGATTTTTTTTTTCCTGTCTCTCTTTCAGGTATGGAAAAATTGTATCCACAAAGGCAATCCTTGACAAAAACACAAATCAGTGCAAAGGTAAGTGTACATCACCTAGTCTTGAAGCTCTTACCTGTGCTTGTGGGTTGATGGCTCCTGCCTGGAAGAGGACCAGGCTCCAGCTGCACAGAGATCACTATGTACAGTATATGGCTGGCGTCTTTAATAATGCTGTGGCATTGAGGAGTTGTATTTCTGGTAACATTGCTCATTAATTTTTTTCATTAACAAACAAAATGAAAATCACAAATCAGAACAAGTATCAAATTGCTTCGGCATAAAACTAAATTATCTCCTAACAACTCTGGGTTGTCTGATTTGAATGATATCATCAGTGATGCAAATTGATTTTCTATATAAAAATGAGGAACTCTGGGGAAAACTTGTCCATGCAAAACACATTTTAATCTCTCTGTTCTTTAAAGCTTTAGCAACATAGGTTGACTAGGAATGAGTTGACTGACGCTTGAGTCCAAGCATCTGCTCTCAGCATCTTACAGGATCTCATAGTTGCCATCTTATGAAGCCTTCTTCTTCTTCATCTTCTTCTTCTTTTTTTTTTCCTGGAAATATTTCTAAAGCTTTTGCCAATATCTGTGGCTCACGTTTCTTCATGTCTGGGAATCCCATTTTCTTTTAAGGGTTATTTGTGAACTCTTTTGTGAACTCTATATGGTCTCTTGAATGAGTCAGTTTTTACTGGGAAATTGGAATGCTTGTATAACATATGTTACCTTCTGTAGCTCTAATACAATCTTTGTCATAACACTGCAATTAATTAATTTGGTAGAGCCAATATTGTTTAAAGCACTGTCCCTATTTCAAATACTTGAAAATACCCACAACTTCTAGGAATTAACAATCATATACTCTCTGTATTTCCTAACCCCTTTGGATAATGATAGTGACATTCCATTCAGTAACAATAAAAACAAAAAAGCTTTTTTTGCATCTCTTATACACTAGAACATGTTCTAAGCTCTTAGATACAATAAGACAAAGAATAATGGTTTCTGTTAACTGACAGTTCATTCTTAGTTGAGGTAGAAGTCGCCAAGAACAAGAATGACAGGATTTCTTCAACAAAATCAGTTAAGCCTACTATATTTATCAGGATCAACATGTTACCCTAACATAAAAGTATAACAGAGCTACCTATTGCCTACAGTATCCACAAAATAGTGGCAGGGCAGAATATGGGCAATTTTTATTGGTTATCCATGTTTATGAGATGAAGGAGAATGAATGGGTTTGGAGAAATTTGACATTCAGGAGAAAGAATTTTAGATTATAATTGAGCAGACCCATATAACTAAAATAGAAAAATGCACAGATATCAATATTGGTAAAAAGAAGAGTTCAAAATGTGGAGGCTTTTGAAAACTTATCCTAGATACTTTAAACTCATTTCTATGTACAACCTCTCATAGTTTTTTTGTTTTTGTTTTTGTTTTTGACAGATACCATATGATTTTGTATTTTGGAAAAGTGATTGTGACAAAAGTAAAAGTCAATTGCAAAGGGGAGAAAACTGAGGGAGAAAAATACACTGTACAATTGAAATTCATATTTACGAGCAAAATGAAAAGAGTCACCCATCATTAGCAGAGAGAGTAAAAGGGGAATACCATGAGACTTTTTTTTAATTTTCAAGGGTAAAATTGAATATTTTCTGTAGAGGTAAAATAGATGCACACAATGAAGCCTAAAGGTGCGTGATGTCATTGGGAAAGATGGATGTGCCTTTCTAAGGTCAGAAACCCAGATGTGGTGTTGCTAGGTTGGGGGAGGGGTCACTCATGATGTTTCGGACATGCTGGTTAGTGGCCAGGACAGAACACCCAAATGGGGGTGTCAAAAGGGGAAGCTACAGGAAAGCCTAGCACTGGGTGACTGCAATTGAGAGAGTAGCTAAGAGCCACACAGGATAACTTGTCAGCAGGTCCTGGGATGGGACACATTAGTAAGCAGCTGCAGATCAAATCTTGAGGGACGTATAAGAACAAAGCTGGGTCATGACACAGGACATAAAAATATTTTTGTGAAAGTGGTGGAAAAAGGGATGATAGATTATTATCTTGACATATCTCCAAATCAATTAGGTTGTCTTTCCAGACAACAAAAAGTAAAAAAAAAAAAAAAAAAAAAATCACTTCTGGGAAAAATTGAGCTGGCTCCAGTTATAATTTGGTTGTTCTTTCTACAAAACCTGAATTGCATGTGACTATATATTTCTTTTATTTTTTTGTTTTTGTTAAAGTCTGATGAAAATGACAATGAATTAATTAGGAGAGAGTGTTCTATTTCAACTCTTTTAGTGATAGGCAAAAGTTGAGTCCTTCTTGACCACTGGTTTCTAAAGACAAGAAAGTGAAAGGATGAATGAGGTCTATTTTTCCAAGAAAAATCACTCAGATCATCAAGGCAACCATAGGAGAACATACAGTGGACTTTGTCTTCTCAGAGACGCTTACTTCTGAATCATTTGCCAATGTTTCCTCCAGATGAAGGCTTTGCAATTAAAACTCAGTACTAGAAGGACTAGATTTATTTTTGCTTCCAAAGATATGGTATGAACTCAGTTTCTGATGCTGTGCATGCTGCATGTTGTATGCCAATTAGTGCTCAGTGAGGTCGAGGAAAGTACAGTTCTAGTCACTTCCTTTGAGATGAAAAGACTTAACTGTGCTGTATCAACCCAACAGACATTGGCTGTGTCTGTGTGTGTGAAAGGAAGGTTTTTGTTCCCTCCCCCCAACCCACCCACACCCTGCTAGGTACAGTGGGCTGGCCTGACGTACGCAGTCTCCCTTCCAGAAGGGTCATGGGGAACTCTTTCAACATAACCTGTTTTCAAGATGGTTCTTCCTTGGGTGGTGACTGTGCCTGCAGTTTTCATTCTGTAAATATGGCAACATAAAACAAAACAGTCACCGTCAGGCCAAAATGACCAGAAATTACTGAACAAAGCAGGCGACAGCTCCAGATGGACAGTAATGAAAAACAGACCACAGTTCATTCAGATCCTCAAAAACAAGGGCCAAATAAAAGCTATTGTACGAGGCACAGAGATTTACACAGCTTTGTTTTTCTGTTTTTCTGTTACCCATGTGTTTTCCTCCTGGGTCCATTGTATTTGCTAATTTAAAAAGTCAGGAAAATTAAATCAAGGAAGCCATTGAAAAAGAAGTGTAAATTGTCACTGAATTGACTTTTCTCTGCCTTTTCCTGCTTTTAAGTTGGGCTTCCTCTAGCTCTGCCCCCCCACACCCATGCCACCCCCACCTTGCCATTTTTCTGACAGGCTCTGTATTGAAAGAGCAGGGAATGAGTAACGGATATGCCATAGAAAGTTTCCATGCCTAGCAGCCATAGGATCTGAGAGTAGTTAGCATGTGCCAAGCACACCAACTTCTGAAAGTCTGAAATACTCCATTCTGCCTTGTGTCATGGGCCAGTTGGATTATATCTGTGGAAGCTTATGTTGTCCTTCATGTTTCATTGAACTTGTAGAATCAGAGCTGAATAACCCACCAAAAGTGTTGAAATTATCCATGAATAATATTCATTATTTTTTAAAATATTTACTTATTTATGCATACAAGAATTAGAGTGCAGGCCAGAGGTGGTGGCTGAGAGATTCATCAGAGATAAAGTGGGGAGCAGAACAGGCAGATTAATGAAACACACTGCTGAGGGGAGCAGCAGGTGGGTCAGGAGAGGTCTTCTGTGCCAAGTGAGTCAGCTCCCTAAAGTTGACTGGAACTTGAGCTCATGCTGTAGTGGCTACAGACAGCTTTGTAGCATTATGCTTTAACCCATTGCACCACCAGGAAAGACCCATGTTCTTTATTTTTTAAAGATTTATTTATGCATATAACCACTAGGGTACAGGCCAGTGTGGGGGTTGAGAGGATTCACTGTGGAGAGAGGAGGGGGTACAGAATAGGCAGATCTACTAAAATACATTGCTGAGGTGAGCAGCGGCTTAGACAAAAATCGAGCATAAGCTAGAGGTGCAGAAAGGATTCACCAGAAACAGAGTGGGGAGCAGAAGAGGCTGATTGACAAAGTACACTGCTGAGGAAAGAAGCAGGCGAGTCAGGAGAGGTCTGCTGTGCCATGTGGATCACCTCCAGGTTGGGGGATCGAACTCTCATTGAAGCTGCCTGGGCTTGTCTTAGCTTCGTAGTTCAGAGCTCCAACCCACTGCGCCACCAGGGGCAGTATCCCCAGTGTAGTAAATGTGAGCTGATACGCTTAGACAAGTTTCAAATCCATCACTTTTATTTGTTATTGAATTTTCTCCCCTTTTCTTTCACAGGAAGTATTTCTGTAGCAAATGAGCCAATGTGGAATTCTGAATTTAATCCTGGAGGGAGGGAAAGTTTCATACATTGTCATATCTTTACATAGAGTCATTACAGGGTCTGAGGCAGCCCCCACCTATGTGTCAACTAGTAAATGACTGTGACACACTCCCGGGGAGAATGTAGATGTGTCCATGGGACTGTTTGGTTTCCAGAAACTAGCACATGCATTCTAAGCTGCTCCAGATAGACACAAAGCAGGAATAGTAAGAAACTAGCCGCCATGGATATCTTCTTTCTCAGTATCTTGTTTCTCAAAATCAATGCAAACGAAAAGAAATGTTCTGTGAAATTTATGAGTCTGAGGAATTCCATTTTGAGAGGAATAGTGACTTCCCCCAGGTGGGCTCACAGTCTGTTGAACAAGAAGCCCATGAAGCAAAATGACCTGAAAAACACATTTATTCAATTTTCAAATAATGAAATTAGGTGAGAGGGGATGGGACAGGGAGAGAAACAGTTTACATGAACTACTCACTGCATTTTCTAGGGCATGTGATAGTTTCGGGAACTACTTCTGTGAATTTTGTGTTAGTCCACTCTTCATTTTATCACCAGTCATGCTACTGACCTTTGTTTTCATTTCCAAAATGATTAATTTGTACAGTAACTTGGGTCACTTTCCACAGGGTATCAAGTTTACCCAGACATGTATTACAGGTAGCTTTT